AAGGATTGACAGAGAGATAAAAGAGAGGAAAGAGAGTAAACCAGATGTACAAGATATGTGTATGAAATTATCAAAAAACAAATTGAATCAATAAAAAGGAATAAATAAAAAATAAAGGGCAAGAGGAGCTAATATCATTCTGAATATTAGCTTATTCCTAGTGAAAAACCTAAGGAGAGCAAAAGGATTGGTATCCAGAGTGTGTAAACATATTCCAGTAAGACAAATAGCTGAGTTCCCAAATTAACAAACAACACAAAAAAGGTTGTCCACAAAAGAAGAAACAAATAGCCAACAAAATATTCCACTTCATCTAGCGATGTACACATTAAGTTTATGATAAAAATAGCACTGCATACCAGTTTAGATTGACCAAAGTGAACACGTTGACAAAACCAAGTGGGGCAGAGTTATAGAGAAACAAGAATTCTCAGGTTTCTGTTGGGAATGCAAATTGGAGCTGCTCTTTCAGAGAGCTCAGAAATTCTTATACACTTACCAGGAGATATGTACAAAACAATTCATAATAGCACTGATTGTGGAAAGTGAGAAATGTGCTTAATGTTCCTCTAGAGGGAATAAATACACATTCCTATAGCACAGCGCTTCTCTAGTGAAGATGTGTGAAAGAGAATGTGGTGGTCTGAATGAAAATGGCTCCCATAGGTCCACTGGCTTTATTAGGAGGTGTAACCTTGTTAGAGTAGGTGTAGCTTTGTTGGAGGAAGTGAGTCACTGGGTTGGGCTTTGAGGTTCCAGATGCTCAAGCCAGACCCAGTGTCACTCTCTGCTTCCTGCCAATCCAGATATAGAAGTCTCAGCTACCTCTCCATCACTGTGTCTGCCTGCATGCCACCAAACTTCCTGTCACGATGATAATGGACTAAACCTCTGAACTGTAAGCAAGCCACACAAAACGTTTCCTTATAAGGGCTGCCATGGTCATGGTGTCTCTTCACAGCAATAGTAACCCTAACCAAGACACAGAGCAGCCTTGAGTCAGAAATGGCTAATGACTCAAATAGAATGATTTCTATAGAGACAGCATCTTCTAGGTTATGAATACACATGTTTGTCTAAAACAAAATATTTAAAAAAAAAATGAATTGAGAAACACCCAAGTCGGTGTGGTAGTCACCTTTCACAAAACTCAAGTCCAAGTAGATCAATGACCTCAACATAAAACCAGATACACTAAATCTAATAGAAGAGAAAGTGGGGAATAGTTTTGAACACATTGACACAGGAGACAACTTCCTGAACAGAACACCAACAGCTTAGACACTAAGATCAACAATTAATAAATGAGACCTCATGAAACTGAAAAGTTTCTAAGGCAAAAGACACTGTCAATAGAACAGAATGACAGTCTACAGATTGGGAAAAGATTTTCACCAACCCTACATCCAACACAGGGCTAATATCCAGAATGTATGAAGAACTCAAGAAATCAACACCAATAAATAAAATAACCCAAATTTTAAAATGAGGCACAGAACCAAACATAGAATTTCAACAGAGGACTATGTAATGGCCAAGAAGCACTTAAAGAAATGTTCAACATCCTTAGTCATCAGGGAGATGCAAATCAAAATGACTCTGAAATTCTATGTTACACCTGTCAAGATGGCTAAGATCAAAACTCAAGTGACTGCATAGACTGGTGAGGATGTGGAGAACACTCCTCCATTGCTGATGGGAGTGAAAACTTGTACAACCACTGTGAAAATCAGTCTGGTGGTTTTTCAGAAAATCGAGAATAGTTCTACCTTAGGACCCAGCTATACCACTCCTGGGCATATACCTTGTTGTATGTTCCACCGTGTATTTGTCCATAGCAGCTTTATTCATAGTAGCCAGAAACTAGAAACAACCTAAATGTCAGTCACCCAAAGAATGAATAAAGAAAATGTGGTACATTTACACAGTGGAATACTACTCAGCTATTAAAAACAAGAACATATTGAAATTTTCAGGAGCATGCATGGACTGGTCCTAAGCCCCCTGCATATATGTAGCAGATGTGCAGCTTGGTCTTCATGTGGCTCCTGGACAACTGGAGCAGGAGCCTCTGCAACTCTAATGCCTCCCTTTTAGGGATCCCTTTCCCTAACAGGCTGCCTTGTCCGGCTTCAGTAGAAGAGGATGCACCTAGTTCTGCAGTGACTTAATGTGCTAGGGCAGGTTGGTACCCATGTGGGACTCTTCCTTCTCTGAGAAGAAGAAAAGAGGAGAATGGGGGAAGGAGTGTGCAAAGGAGGGAATGGGAGGAAAGAAGGGGGGCTGCAATCAGAATGCAAAGAGTTGAACACAAAAAGAGCATTACCTGTAATGGCTATGTTTCATTCTGTGTGTATACCTGTCTATCTCTGTTTATGCATGGGTAGTACACAGATGTACGCGCTCACATGTGCACATGCATGCAGAGGCTAGAGGTCAATATCAGGTGTCATTTTCCACCTAAGGTTTTGACACGGTCTCCCACTAAACCAGGAGCTCCCCGGGTTCATTCATCTAGATGTCCAGTAAGCCCCGGGGACCCTCCTGTCTCCACCTTCTCAGTGCTGGGGTTACAAAAGTGTACCTCCATAACCAGTTTTGTTTTGGTTTTTGTGGGTACCAGGGATCAAACTCAAGTTCTCATACTTGCAAGGCACTTTATCAACTGAGTCACCTTTCTAATTCCTGTTCTGCTTTATTATTTTAAAATAAAATTTTAGATGCAAAATATCAAGGTCATTTAAGGTCATTTACTCGAAATCTTCGTATCATTAATTGCTCAGATTAAATCACTGTATGCATGATTCTAAAACAGCAGTAGTTTTCACATACACACACATATCTATGCATGCTTAGGCACCAAAAATACATGAGTACATGAACACAAAGCATACCTACATGTATACCACAATACACATATAAAAATATTTAAAGAAATTAATTTTTCTCTTCTCTGCTGGGAATTAAGCCCTGGATCTTGTGTGTGTGCTATACCACTGAGCTCCATGCCCAATCTTTCTCATTTTAGTTCTGAAAATTCTGTGTCCCTTCTGGTAATTTGCAGAGATTGAGTCTGCATATAATTGGCATTTAACAAATGCTTGCTTATGAGACCCAAGAGACTGACATTGTCCTAGCTAAATTACATTGTTTCTGGCCTTAGCTGTCATAGATAATACCTGATAGGTCTCCATCTTCCAAACCTGGAGAAGTTTGTTCACATAGCTGACTCCTCCCCAGAGCACCAGTCAAGTTCCTGTTGGCCCTGTATTGTCAGCAGAAGGGAGAGCATTGACTGCTCCTCAGTGTAGGAAAAAGAAAAACACAGAGAAGCCATTATCTCTGTCACTCCAACTACCTTTGCTCCGCGTTCTCCCCTAACCGCCAGCTGCACTATAAGCAATGCCGATGAAGCCTTTCTCCTGCCACCCTTTATCACCCTTTATCTTCTCCGCTCCACCTACCAGCTACTTTGTCTTGCCGGCCAGGCTAGTCTTGCTGAGATCCAGGTTTTATGAGGAACCCAGTTTCTGGAAAACCATTCATAATCCTAGCAAATATTTGCTAGGCACCTACTTGGTGTACAGTTTCAAGTATTTTTCAAATACCATCTGCCTCATTTTACACTCTTGTTACCTGTGTTACATGTGAGATGCAAAAGAATGAATAAAGGAGCGGCTATTACTGATGTATACCCAGTGGGTGGTCAAGTTTGAGCCCCAAGAATAACAGAAAACACAAATATGCTAGGCACCTTGTCTGTGCCTAGTGGTCACCGCTGCCAACTGTGGCTTTCCTTCTTTCTATTCTATGATTCCACAACCAAAATGACTGTCTGATTGAATATCTCTAAAAGGTCATGATGAATTATTCTGTAATATTTGAAATGTTATGTTCAGAAAGGTCAAATCTTTTTTTTTTTTTTTTTTTGGTATGAAGTTTTTTTCTAACCGAGCACGTTTTATTCCGTTAAAGGAAAGATAGCAGCAAATTTAGAGCACAGCGCCCTCTCGAGGAAATTTATAACAGGGAGCTCTCTTGAGGAAGCTTAGAGCAGGGCGCCCTCTTGAGGAAATTTTTATGTCTTCCTTCTCAGAGCTGACACTGTAAAATCGAAGCCAGGTTAAGTCTTATGTGCTGTTAAAAAAGCTGTAATCAATGAAGCTTTAAAAAGCAAGAAGAGCCAAACACTGGTTATTTGAGAATTAAGACTCTTCACTAATCTGATTTCATATAGCAACTGTAAATAAGAATATTTCAGTAAAAACAAAAATACAAGAGCTATTTCACTTCTTCATGCTCAGTCAACAGTATAATCTTTTTGCATTTATCAATTACATAGTTTGTGTTGGGAATTATACTGGATACAGTAGCCAATGAAACACAGCCTTGCCTTCTAAACTCACATCCCAGTTTGTGGGGGGCATGACAGTGAAAAAAATCATAAAAAGAGTCCGTGGTATAGTAATCTAATGTACCATATCGGCACAACCAATCAATACCCTAGCATTGAAGCCACCAGACAGTTACTTGAAAAATACAGAAAAACCATAAAATGTGCAAACTTAACCCCCAAAATTGACTCTTGATAATTTACTTTTGTGATAAATTAAAGAAGAAAACTAAGTACAAAATGGTATATATTAAAGCATTTTCCATACCAGATATGTATAATTTAATGCTTTGTATCTACATGATCAGCAGTAATAGACTAATATTCTAGACAGCTAGCAATAATAGTCTGCCTAAATCAAACATGTTATATCACCCAATAAATGTTGGCCAGACACTGTGTAAGTTATATGTGTGTTTAAAAGTGATCAAGGGAAACAGGAAAACAAAGCAATCACTATCTTAGTGTGGTTAAATTATAGTTTTTCCTTTTTTAACTTTCTGCATTGTATACTCTATGATGGAGATTAAAATACTGAATACATTTATGAACTAACTGACCACAGAGTAAATTCCCCTTATCCTCTTTTTTTTCTCTTTTCATCTAGGGAAATTACCGCTTTATGAAACTCTTGCTTACACGCAGAGCAAACTGGATGCAGAAGGACCTAGAAGAGATGACACCTTTGCACCTGAGCACCCGGCACAGGAGCCCCAAGTGTCTAGCTCTTCTCCTGAAGTTTATGGCTCCTGGGGAGGTGGACACACAGGACAAAAACAAGGTAGTAGATAGAGTCAAAGGCAAATGTAAAAGGAAAGGGAGGGGATGCTTCGTTTTATGATGTGAAGCCTCAGAAAGAAGGGCTGCATTGCCATGGTATCTGTGGGAGAGCAACTCCACATATCCAGACATCCCAGCAAGCATCTCATAAAAGTGTGCCATTTTCCTGCTCAGCACCGTGAGGTTGGTAGTACCATCTCCTTTGATGGGTGGGAATCTGACCATCAAGAAGATTAAAGTTTGCCCAAGCTCCAACTGGCAAAACAAGAACTCAGACCCAGGCCTTTTCAACTGTAAAAGCCAACATGGCAGTGCCTGTGGCCAGCTAGACTCGTGGAAGCCATCTGCCCATGCAGTGCAGTAAGCATGGGCACCTGGACCCACAGTGGCCGTCTGTCCATACAGTAGGCAGTCATGGCTGTCAACAGCAGCCTCTTGGACTGTAATACAAAGCCACCACTTACGCATTCTGTGTTCTTGGGGAAATTACTTAACTCATTTATCTCATAATTTGAGAATAAATGAAAAAGATAAACTGAAGGTAAAATGAGGTAATGCGAAGTCTGTAACACAGTGCCTCATGCAGGATACACTCCCCATAAACATTAACCCTAGATACTTAATAATTGCATTTCAGTTCTGATATCGGCCCTCTTATGTCTTGGTAGGAATTTTTTTAACCTTCCTTGCTCTTAAATTTTAACAAATAGCCTACACTTCTCAGTTTTTCTGGTGTTTCTTTATAGAAAAATCAACTGTGGTCATTTGTTAGAAACAAGCAGTAATCCTTTTCTTTCCTCTGCAGGGCAGGCCATAGTCTTGTTAACACCAATGACATGAAGTTAGAATCCTATGGCAGTCACACTTACTGCTCTGAGTGTTTCTTAAACCTGCTGTGTATAGTGGGTGCATGCGTCCATGGGCCGGCATGAATTTATGTGCACTGTGTGAATGCAGGTGCCTGTGCAGGCCAGAGATTATCAGATGCTAGAACTGGATTGCAGGTCATTGTGACCCACCTGATGTGTGTGTGCTGGGAACTGAAGCCCTGTCTTCTGCAGGCGACCAGGTAGCCTAGCTGCTCCGCCATGTTTTCAGACCTTCTCTATTTCGTTGTTGTTGTCATTGTGGTTTGTTTTCCTCTCATGCTGTTTTTGTATTTTTTAAAGTTTTCTTTAGTAGTCGCATTTGGAACATCAACTTTTACTTTGCAATCGTGCATTAATATTTTCTTATTCAGAGCATCTTGAGTACTGGCATTTTGCTAAATGATCAGTTTTATCTTATGTATATTGTCACCACAGCAAAAATAAATAGAAAAATAAAAAAACAAGATGTAGAAAATATGAGTTAATGGCTCATTATAAATAAATGTATATGATATATACTTATATATTTTATATAGAACCTGAATAATTATTACCTAGGAAAAGGAAGGAATTACAGATGCTGTCTGTGTTTATTAATGGTGGTTTTAATCAATTAATGATTGCTTTTAAGTAGTGATTTTTCTGTGATCTTCAGTCACTACTAAAAATAAGAATGGATTGGGGCTGGAGAGATGGTTCAGCAGTTAAGAGCACTTGATGCTCTTGCAGAGGCTCAGCCTTCTGTTCCCAGCACCCACACTAGCAGCTCACAGCAGCCTGTAACCATGCCCCAAGGGATCCAGTACTCTGCTTTGACCTCCTGGAGTTCACCAATCACACAAAGTAAACAAAAATAAACTGAATCTTTTAGAAAACAGCACATTAATAATGACTTTATAATACAAATAAATGCCTGTAATTGCTTGAATGAATGCCATGGATGTTGGCTTTTCTGTTTCAGGGCAGATGAGCTTGGCTCCTCCTCAGTAAGTTACTCAGTTCAAGGCTGGGTTGCTGAGTGACAGTGAGGGTCTAATGTGAAGCTGAGCATCTCCTGGTTTTCCCCATGCTGACTCTCCATAAAAGGCATGTTAATGGCAGTGGCAAAAGTGGTTTTCAAGCAACTTTACTGCGTTCTGAAGCACCACTTTAAACTTTCATTTCAAATAAAGAAAATGTAGGTATAGAATTTTTAAAGTATCTTTTTATTAGTAGCTAGATTTAGCTATTAGTGTGTAAAATTATTCTTAAACTTAAGTTGGATATGCTGAAGTATTCCAGATCTATGGGTTGCCTGTCACATACTATCTTTCTGGTTAACATCAAAATTTAAATCTTTCTGTCAAATTCTACAATTCTAATCCAAATCTTTGTAATACCCAGAGGTGTAACATCAGGAGCATTAGTTACTTTGCTGCCGACTACTCATAAACCATCTTTCTCCTCCCTGTTATTCACAGCACTTGATGAAAGTGACTTATGGTTAGGGAGTCAGACTATGGGTAACACTACTCTGAAGTGTCAGTGCAGCCATAGGCTGCCTTCAACTCTGCCACTCTGTCTCCCAGAGAGTCCTCATGACTTTTTTTACAGACATGAAAAGATTGCTTTATTCCATGAAAATATTCTCAAGAGAGAACATTATAATAAACAAGGCATTAGAAATCAATATGTGCAAAAAGTAAAAAGTACTGCGAAATTAAAAGGTTTCTTTTAGAAAGTGCATATTTTCAAAGCTTAGGAATGATTTAAGAATGACTTAAACTGTGCAAGTACAAGTGTCTTTTCAAATGCTATAACCCATACACAGGTTGCACTACTCCACAAGAAGCTTGCCTTCTATGGAAGCAAACCCAGCTTTAGGAAAACACACAGAAGCTTGAAAAGAACAGTCCTTGCAAGAAAGCTTTGAACTCTGCCCTCTGTGATTGTTAGTCAAAAAAACATAAGCACTTCAGGCTTTGTACAGAGACAAACACAGCCAGGTCACATTTCATCCTTGTTGCTAACTTTTGAAATAAAAATAGCACTACTTACTTTAAAAAACTACTCTATGCAGTCTGCATTATAGAATAATGTCATGTTATATAGATATTAACGAGAGTTAATATCTAAAACTGTCTAGTTTACTAACTCCAAAGGTAATACACTACATGCCAGCTGTATAACACTGGTGTACTTGATCTTATGAAGGCATTAGCGTTCACACAATTGTCATTCAGCTTTAGTATAACTGGTAGTATGATTCAAATAGCACTGGAAAAATTATTAAAGGAGTTAAGAAATCTGGTTAATGCATCTCCTAACAACTCTTCAGCCATGCCTGTCACATAGCAGATGTTCCAGAAGAGTGGGATGCTGAGGCTTTGAGCACCTCTCTACCTTGCAGCAAACAGCTCTGCACTGGAGCGCCTACTACAACAACCCCGAGCACGCGAAGCTGCTGATCAAACACGACTCCAACATCGGGATTCCTGACGTGGAAGGCAAGATCCCCCTCCACTGGGCTGCCAACCATAAAGACCCGAGCGCCGTGCACACGGTGAAATGCATCCTGGTGAGTAGAATGCTCTGCTAGACCCCAAGAGCCTTTTTTTAGGAAAAGATAATGAAACAGCAGGTACAGAAAGCATGTATGTGACAGACAGGCAGATTATGAAGAAAGAATATCAACATGTGGACTTACCCTGCAAGAGTCAGAGCATCGCAATAGCACTTACTCCACACTGAGGTTTTCTGTGACCCTCCCCCCACCCTGCCTTCAGAATTCCCGTTTCTCATTCTATGCTTTGTTTTGTACTTGTTTCAGATCTTCTAATTTTTTGTTTTTGTGTATGAGCATGTGTATGTGAATTGTGTGTGTGTGTGCGTGTGAATGTGTGTGTGTTTGTCTGAGATGTGGGGTGAGGAAAAGGTGTTTATGTGTGTGATGCATGCACATTAGTATTCAGGTATACACAGCAATAGTTGTCTGCACCAAGGCTAAAGCAGGACACGGGGATCTTCCTATATCATGCTCTGCCTTAGGACAGGATTTCTCACCGAACCTGAAGCTCACTACTACAGCTAAGCTGTCCAGCCAGCAAGCTTCAGGATCTAAGTGTCAGTGTTCCCCAACGCCAAGGTTACAGGCACTCACCGCCCCGCTTGGCTTTTTCACAGAAGTGCTGGGGATTGAACTCAGGTCTTTACTAGCTGAAACACTCCCCCAGTCCCCTGATAGCTTTTAGTATATAAATTAGACTTATTCTTCCCTTGTATATAAAATGATTATTGCATTAATATGCACTAATTTTTTTTCTTTTTAATTTATTTTCTTTTTTGTCTATGTGTGTGTGATATGCATGCATGTATTGATAAGTGTGTTGATATGTGTGTGAGGATACATGCTCATGTGTGCATGTGTATGGAGGAGGCCAGGAATTGATGTCAGATGTCCTCCCCACTCATACTCCACTTTATCGAATGAGGCAACGTCTTTTGTAGAAGCCCAGGCTCACTGTTTTGGCTGATCTGGCTAGTCAGTGTGCCCCAGGGATCCCTGTCTCTGCTGTCCATGCCCTGGGGTTACAGGTGGGCTACCATGCCCGCCCAGCTTTTACATGGATTCTGGGATCCAAACTCAGGTTCTCAGGGTTCTCAGGTTGAGTGATGTCTTAGTCAGTGTTCTGTTGCTGTGAAGAGATACCATGACCATGACAAGACCTATAAAGGAGATCACTTAATTGAGGCTTGGTTACAGGATTACAGTTTCAGAGGCTTAGTCCATTATGAGCGTGGTGGGGAGCATGGCAGCACGCAGGTACACATAGTAGCTGAGAGTTCTACATCCAGATCCACAGGCAGCAAACAGAGACACTGGGCCTGGCATGAGCATTTTGAAACCTCAGCAAGGCCACACCTACTAGTGGTGACACTCCCTGATGACCAAGCTCAAATCTGTGAGCCTATGGAGGCCATTCTTATTCAAACCACCACATTCCACTCACTGGCCCACATAGGCTTATAGAATAATACAGAAATTCATTCAGTCCAACTTCCAAAATCCCCATAGTCTATTAACAGTCTCAACACGGGTTAAAAATTCAGAGTCACTTCTGAGACTCATGGCAATCTCTTAACTGTTAACCCCTAAAATATCGAAATAAAAAAGCAGATCACATACTTCCAACATACAGTGGGACAGAATATACATTGCCATTCCAAAAGAGAGGAAATGGAGGATAGTGAGGAAATACTGGACCAAAGCAAGACAGAAAACCAGCAGGGCAAACTCCAGACTGCCTCTCTGTCTGATGTCAAAGTACTCTTCAGATCTCCAACTCCCTTCAGCTTTGTTGACTGCAGCACACATTTCTCTCTTGGGCTCTTTCCACAAGTGACAAGGACTTTACTCATTAGTCTCATTTTCAACCCCTTAAATTTTGAATTTTCTTTATAGTTCCTCCTAGTTCCTTAGCTATAGGCCTTAGAACTTTCAGTTTTTTATAGAAATATTGGTAGTAAACTGTTGTTTTCTTTTTGGTTTATGACAGTCTTATGTAGCTGAGGGTGACCTTGAACTTCTCATCCTCCTGCCTCTCCTCCCAGGTGCTAGATTTACAGCCCCATGACACCAACACTTAGTCTCTGTGGTGCTGTCCATTGCACACAGGACGTCATACACACTGGCAAGCAGGCACCAGTCTCAGCTGTGTTTTCATTGTTAAGAATGTCTGTTTAATTTTTTCTTTTTTTACTTCGAATATAATTACATCATTCCCCTCCCTCCTTTCCTTTCTTCAGTGCTTTCCTTGCCCCACCCCACCTGACCTCCTATTTATTCCTCGGGTTAATACCCTCGATTTCTTTAATTGTTGTTATCCTGTTCCTGAAAGCTAGTTTTCCTTGTGCCCAGCCCCAGATAGTTATTTTTCTATTCTTTATTTTATGCTGTTTACAGCTTTCTACTTTTTGTTGTTGTTACCAGTCAAGTCTGTTGCTGTCTTGTTAATGGTCAATCCTTTGTGAGGTGATCTACCTTTTTGTTTGGGCTGTATTTAATTCTCTGTGTTTAACATTCTACAGTTCCTTTGCAATATGTCTAGCTGTGATCTTTAGGAATAAAAAGGAAAAAAAATCCTCTTTGCTAGGCCAGGTAGCACATGCCTGTGATTTCAGCATTTGGGTGGTAGAGTCAGAATCCACTGTGAATCTGAAAGTTGATTTGGTGTGTTCAAACCATCCTGGTTATTGTGATATTTTTTATTTCTGCTCACTTTCCATCACATGTTATATTTTCTTACAGATTTCACAGATAGTTTTCTCATGTAAACACACCTTACTTTGAGAGCCTAGGCACATCCAACCTTTGATACCATTGTCATCTAGAATCTAATGATCAAGAGCCTTGCAATTCAGTTACAGAAAAGTACATAAAGAATGTTAAAATGTTTTAAGCAAGCATAGGGTTTTGTTAACTTTCGGGAGGGGCTAGCTGCATTTGTAACTGTCCTAGGCCATAGGTATCACACAGCCCCAGGTTGGATACATATTGGGCCCTTTGTTGGTGAAATGGGCTGACTACATAGGAAGCTGTAAATCTGGGAGAGCCCTTCAGAATCAAATTGAAAAACAGGGCTTGGCTCTAGGTGTGACCTAACATGAGAAGGAATCGCCTTAGCTAAAGCTGTTCCAGGAAGCTGATATATGAGAATTCTGGGCTGGTAGTGTCCTTGGAAGCTGGGTAATAAGCCTTTAATGTCAAAGGGAGACTTAAGCACATCATATTGTCTGTTGCAAAGATCTAACAGAGGAGTGAGTGTTGAGAACTGTCAACTTATAGAAACAAAACAATACCATAAACACAGGAGTAAAGCCTTCAGCTTCATTCATAAAGGCACATTAAAATTAGTTATCAGGGAAATGTCTTTCAGCCTCATAATAGAAGTAACATGTAGGAAGCTTGCTGATACCATTGATTAATCTGAACCAGCAGGTAGGAAATAAACGGTCTATACATTGAACATGGGTGTGCTCTGGGGCCAAGCATTCGGAGAGTAGTTTGACAGTATTCATTGGAAATTGCAAAAATCCTTCAACTAGCAATGCCTCACACATTGTGTGAAAAATCTCACACATTGTGCTGCAAGAAATATGTAAGGGAAATAGTCATTGCAACATTATTTGTGACTATGAAAAAAACGGACGACAAAATTCCAGTTTAACAAATGAACTAGAATCAATAGAGATACCGGAAGTGTAGTAGTATAGGAAGAAAAAGTTGCCAGAGAGATTAGATGTATGCGTCTATGATATAAATATCAAAATCACATGTACAAAATGTATATTGTTTATGCATGACTACATATATACAGAAGTTTAAAAAAAAAAACAGCTTTAGCCTAATTCACAATAGATACAAAAGCACAATTAAGCAAATTGTCACAGCTTTTTTATGCAAGCATGATAGTTACTCTCTTATTTTTGGTATTTTTATCTTATTAACAAATAGGGAAGTTAATTGTTAAAGATTTGGCCCATACAGGCAAGCTCTCACTTCACTTGTACCTGCAGAGAATGTGGAGGTTTCATTTATAGAACTCGACAATGTACATGCCGCATGTTATTTACTGAGGAGCCTGCATGTGCCTGTCGTCTCTGGTTCTTGAAAATAGGCTGCCGCCCCGACAGAGTCTCTGTTGAACTGGCAAGACTATGAGGGTCGCACACCCCTGCACTTTGCCGTCGCAGATGGGAACCTGACAGTGGTGGATGTCCTGACCTCCTACGAAAGCTGCAACATAACATCTTACGATAACTTATTTCGAACCCCGCTTCACTGGGCAGCCTTACTAGGTACGTTCTGCTCTAAGTCAGGGGATCGGTGGTAGGGAAGACTGTCCACCGTGGAAGTGGACTGCTGAAACATTCTCATGTTTAATTCGTGTGCTCAGTTATCTCATAACCTGGTTCCTTCTGTTGCATTAAAATGTGGTAATATAAACTAATTCTCTATTAAATACTGGTTTTTATTTCAACATCACATCATAAGCTTTAATTTTTGTTACAAAGGAATGAAAATTCATTGACAAGGTGAATATAATGTACCCTGTCTTCACATTCATGACATGTGGGCGAAAAAAACAGCATTTATTTGGTGCTTTTTGGTGCTTGTATTCATCTTTTATATTTTTTTTCTTCATATCTGCCTTGTAACCTTTTGGGGATTACTTTTTTCTTTTTAGGAGAGGGAAGATATGTGTCTGGTATATATGGTTGTGTCAAATTATTTGAAAGTGTACAACGTGGGAACTTTTCTCTTTTATGAAGTAGTTTAACTGCTTACAGACATTAAAAAGTAACAGTTTTTTTTTTTTTAACTATTGGGGCATTATTAGTATTTTCAGAGGGCTTTTTTATTATTTTTCCTGCCCCTTTGTTTTCACCTTCTGCCAAATGGAGCATATGCTGCCATCACTTGGCTTTGGCCCACTTGATATTCCAGGCAGTGACTTTTAGGCTCAGTTGCAGTGACTTTTCAATTTATCAAAACCATGTTTACACCTGAGTCAGAGCCAAGAGCAAGAGCTCACCTGTTTGCTCCCTCTCATAAGGTGAGTTGAGCCGTTTCTCCTCATCACTTCTTTGATTTCTGTTGACAGTACAAGGGTCTGTTCAGGTGTTAATACCTGGCTCTTAGTTTTTAAATTGTATACTATCTGTCTGAAAGTGATTTCATACTTGCATATGGCTTATATGTCAGATTTCAAATTGTTACTTAGACTTCCTCTCAAAGTGTGTTTATATCCCCTTTCTTTTTCTTCTAGAATGTGGTGTGCTTCACAAATTTCTTTCCACTTGGCTAAATTCACTTTCATGCTATAAATTCTGATTTTATTATTCCTACGACGTGGATTTTGATTTCAACTGTGTCTTTATTCCCATCTGCCTCCTATATTCCTTTTAACCTCATTTTATTTCCTCCATCTCCTTTTCCTGTCAGCCTGCTCTCTTCTTAGGATGCTCTCTTTTGTCTTGTGAAGCCATCTCTTTCTGCACTAAACTGAACATGCCTAACAGTGTCTCGACTTCGCCCTGACCTTCTTGAGATCATTCCTGAGGTATGCTCTTTATCTCCTGGGGCCGAGTCTCTCTGCCTGCCTGTGCTATGTTATCCTCAAGTCTTTACTGATTTTTTTTCTCTGCTCCCCAAACAAGATGAGATGTGTTTAGGCTGACACTGTTGCACAGATTGTCATTGGTCCTGTATTTGGGTTAATAAGATGCCATCTTATGTGGAGTGAGTAGATGAGCACAACTCCCAGGCAGCTCCCTTTGCCTGGCTTCCACCCAGCACAGCCTTGCTCAGATGGCTCCTCACCACACATCTCCTTTATACTCTCTGTTAGAGGGTTTGTTAGCCCTCTGTGTTGTGTTATGCTGTGTTGTGTTGTTTTTTGAAACAAGATAGCCAGAGGATAGCTGAGCACTTGCTCAGTAGCTCAGGATAGTCTCAGCTTTTCAATCCTTCTACCCAAGCCTTCCAGTGCTGGGTTTTAGGCACATACTGCCACACCAAACTTGTTAATTTTTAGACCTTTTGTATAGTTCCTACTTGTAGAAATCAGACTGTTAGCCCATCACCACCTCACAATACCTGCTCCCTCATTTTAGGAATGTAAACTCACTGCCTTGATACTAAAAGACTGTGGGAGAGATATTGTAGGGATGGCTAGGCCTCGGGGACAGAAGAGGTTCATTTCATTTGGTTCAACTGAGCAGAAGGGAGCTGATGTCCAACTCTTGGGGATCAGAAAGCAAAACCTTGACACGATGGACAGTGAAACCAAGAAAAGCCTGGCACGTACCATCATGTGCTTCTCCTCCCTGATGAAGCATCCTGTTTGTACTGTGGTAAGCCTCACCTTCATTCTGTCCTATCATAGTGTGCAGGGAGAAGGAGGAAAAGACAGCACTGGGAAATGCTGTTGAATGCTGCTGATTTTTCTTACCTTCTTTCTTTTAAATGGATTAAAATTAACTTGTCCCTTTGTGTGTGGTTAACTACCTTGTGTCTGTTCTCAGGCCATGCACAGATTGTCCATCTCCTTCTAGAAAGAAACAAGTCTGGAACTATCCCTTCTGACAGCCAAGGAGCAACACCCTTGCACTATGCAGCTCAGAGTAACTTTGCTGTAAGTTAATGATTCCCTTCCTCTTAATGAAATTTTTTATGTTGATATAGTTACAGCTTCATATGCTATAGTTACAAGAAGTAATATGCCATGATCCCACGCCCCTTTCAGCCAGTACTAACAATGGACAGAGTATAGTGTTATACAAAGGAGGTTGACACTGATCTACTTCAATCGTGCCATTTTAAAGAACACACATGTATCTGTATTGTAGAGTGCTTGGCTTTATACCATCATTCACACTGTCAGCACCGTGATGCAGGTGACGGTCTGGGTTTTTATAAGGTTGTTAGTCACTTGCAAAGTTTTATGCAGCTTTACTTAAACACTCGGCATAACCTTTCTGCTTTATGGTGGGTATACTGCATCATTTGTGACTTTTATAGCACTAATGATATCTTAGTGTTCAGCACCCTGAAAGCAGTGCAGCAAGGCTTTGGAACTGGAAAAACAGTCCCAACTGTGCAGACTGCTAGCTGTGTGAGGTCACACAACTTTCTTTTTTCTTTTTCTCTCTCTCTCTTTTTTTTTTGTTGTTTTTTTGAGACATAATTTCTCTGTGTTGTCATGGCTGTCCTTGACTCACTTTGTAGACCAGGCTGGCCTCGAACTCACAGAGATCTACTTGCCTCTTCCTCCCAGGTGCTGGGATTACAGGCATGTGCCACCCTGCCTGGCTTCACACAACTTGTTTAACATCTGAGTCTTTACTTCTTCATACATAGTATGAATAAGGCCTACCTGATGTAGAGCAGTCAACACAGGCCATATTCCTATGAATTGTATTCATATTCCTATACATATGAGAGCAGGTATCCAAACACAGGCATTCTTATTATTTTTACTAATGATTATGGATTGTATACATCTCAGAAGATGAAAGTGTAAATTATTGTTTCTAGAAATCCTGGGCATTTTCTATAGCTCTTTCCTGATAGTCCTTCATAGATCATAAAGTACATTCTTATCTATTATGTCCTGGGTTCGTTTGGCATCGTGATGATGTGTAGTGTGAGACACAGACATTAAAGATGCCACAGTTGGTTTTCTGTCTTAATCATGGGTGTGCAGTAAAACTCACAATAGCTCTGGCCTGGGCAGAACATAATTCCTACTTTTTTACCTCAGCATTCTGCTGAATGTCTTGTTTTCATTCCCTTCTTACTCTCTGTACAAGCCAGTTTGATCCTGACTTGTGTGCTAGTGATTCTGTTACCTTTCTTCTAAATAAATCAGAAACTCCTGAATGTCCTGTTTCTGTGACAAGTATGCCGTGTGTCTGCTCTCAGGCCATTTATGTACTTATAGTCTTTCCTTCTTGGCCTCCCTAAAACTTTACTCAGTGCACCTAGAGTTTTGGCAGACCATTAGCTTTTATTAACTCTGAACATCTCAATGATGGCTGGAGAAGTAGTTCTTTCTTACCGCAGATAGGAAAGCCACCTGGCCCAAGCTGATGGATCTGTGGAAATGAAAACTTGGGACATAACACAAGCCTGTAAGGAGGGTCATAACATCCCACTTACAGGTTCTAGAAATTCAGTGTTCTAAGAGGTTCAAGAACTTGCCCATGATCTTGAACCATATTTCAGACTCCAGCTTTAGTACAGATACTAATAACTAAATACTCATCAGTGGGAGCAAAAGCGAATGGAGATATTTGATTTAGATGGTCTACCTGTTCCAGACTTGATTTTAGTAATTACACATATCTAAGCTCCATCTCAAGCCCATTGATTACTGTAGCTTCTATTAACTCCACATAATGTTGCTATTTCTTTTTGAAAAACACCAAAGAATGAATAAATAAAACTAGGAAGCAGTTTACAATTAGGAAACCATACCACGCTGTGGACGCACTGCTGGGATTTTTGTCTGTTCCTATACTGCATTTCTTCCAGTGTAAAACAAGGCATAATTTAGACAAGGCCTTAAATTTATTCTTTTTTATTACTGTATGTGTATAGATGTTTTGTTTGCCTGTATGTCTGTTTACCACATAGCTGCCCAGTGCCCTTGGAGGGCAGAACATCATGTCAGATCATCTGGGAGTGGAGTTACTGATGGCTTTAAGCCTCCCTGCAGGAGCTAGAATTGAACCCAGCAGCTAGTGCTCCTGGCTGTTATGCTATCTCTCTAGCTCCTCCCTGTTCTTCCTATAAGATGGTAAGAGTCAGCTACAGAAACTTCTTTCTGAAGCTCTTTTATATTTATTCAAGCACAGTTTCTTGACCTTCCTAGAAATTTGTAATTGTCTGAGTTCTTGAAAAGAGGTCAGCACAGAAATATTGACCCAGGTATAAGAGCTTGGAATGGCACTCAGCTATACAGGGCTTGTGCAGCATAAGTGAGGCCCTGGATTTGATCCCAGCATGGAAAACAACAGTAACCCAAACTGTCAGGCACTGTTAGGACTAACTGCCCAGGGTCCAAATTTGTCCATTATTGTAGAGGCAGGACCTTGAATATAGGAATGACTAAATAAATTTGCCTAATTAAATGAGCTGAATGCTACATTTCATAGTAACTTTTCATCAGTAATCAACAAATGTATATTAACCATGTCACGATTTTTAGTAATGAAATACACAGTGAGACAATGTTTGCCTTCTCTGAAGACATGCTTCAACATGCAGGTCTCTGCAGGTGCAGTGCACAAGAAAATGTATAGCTTAATGTAAGTCTTGACGCTGAATGTTTCAATCTTCTAATTTTCATTTCTAACAGTGGCCTTAAAAGTTTGAAAACTTGCCAGGCACAGTGGTGCATGCCTTTAAGCCCAGTACTTGGGAGGCAAAGGCAGGGAGATCTCTGTGAGTTTGAGGCCAGCCGGGCTATAGCACAAGTTCCAGGACAGATAAGGCTACACAGAGAAATCCTATCTTAAAAAACCAATACAAATAAAAATAAATAAATAAGTTTTAAAGTTTGATCAAAGGGATTTATTCTCAATTATTTTATACTTCTCTTTTTTTTGTCTTTTTAAAATTATTTTTTGTTCTTTGACAGTTTCACTCATCCCCACCTTCTCCTGTTCAAACCCTTCTCCTCAGTAAGTCCCCTCCCTACTTCCATGGCTCCTCTTGTGTGACACTGGGTTTAAACAGGGTTGCCCCCTGGGTGAGGAGGAGAGCAATGCTCGTTCCACAGCCAACATTGTCAGTAGTCCCCCAGAGAACGGGGGCCTCACAAGCCCTTCTCCCTTCAGGATGAAATACTGACAGGCCCAGCCTTGTACTGGCAGTCACAGCTGCCATGAGTTCACACTTGCACCAGCCTTTGTCATGTCCAGAAGGTACTGTTGGACAGCAGTCACCCAACTCTGGTTCTTACTGTCTTTTTACCTCTTCTTTGGTATTCCCTGGGAGGGGCCAGTCATCATTCTCAAACTGAAGGGTGTTGAACAAGAAAGTTAGTTTGTGTTTTTGAAGCATTCCAGAAACTAAAACTAATATATAAGGAGAGATCATAATTTTCAGTGGAAATTGAGGTTTTGTTATTTAAAAAAAAAAAAAAAACAAAGAAAGAAAAGCAGCAGGGGAAATCTTCATCTTCTTCATGGACTCCCCTCTAACAGGTGCTTTATTATCATGAAAGGAATGTCCCCCACTGCTGCAGGGTTTCAAATGAAGCTTTCTTACAGGAAACAGTTAAAGTGTTTTTAAAGCATCCGTCAGTGAAAGATGATTCCGACCTGGAAGGAAGAACGTCCTTCATGTGGGCAGCGGGGAAAGGCAGTGATGATGTGCTCAGGACTATGCTGAGTTTAAAATCTGACATCGACATTAACATGGCGGACAAGTACGGAGGCACAGGTAGGAGCTGGCACATGGACTTATGGTTCTTCGGGTGCTGAAAAGTGCTATCAGATTTCTAAGACAGAAACTTGAGATCACTGTGCCTAAGGTAGTGTTGTTTGACTTGGCTTTTCACTATTTGTGCTTGAGTTTGCCAGGACCTTGCTCCAGAGGCTTTATCTCTTTCACGTATTATGGCTAAAATCATTTCCTCTACTAGGTGGGCATCATCATCTGGGTTATAGCTTTGGCTGCACAGTAGACACAAGGTAGAAACTTGTCTCCGCATTCACTTTTGTGTGAAAAAGAACAGAAACTTACAACTATGCAGAGTTGGGGCTGAAGAGATAGCTCAGTGGGTAAAGCACTCGCCATGCGAGTGTGAGGACCAGAAAAAGTGAGTGGGCTTGGAGGCCTGCCAGTAATTTCCATGCTCGGGATTGGAGACAAGGAAGCCACAGAGCAGGCTGACTGCCCCAACTAGCCAAGCAGGTGACCTTCGGAGTCAGTGAGAGACTCTGCGTCAATATGAAAGGTCACACACAATCAAGGAAGACACTGATGTTAACTCCCAACCTCAGCACATGTGAGTGCACATGCAGGTGTGTTCACCTGAACACATACATACATATGAAAAAACTGCATGTTAGTAGCTACCAACATTTCAAAATATGTTTTAAGGGATGAGCATATCTAAATGTGTCCTCAAGTCTCATTTTTTTATGGTCTTTCCTCAAGTTTTAATGTGGATGCATGTTGCTGTCCCATGTTAGAGAGAACTTCCCGTGTCTCTAAAACCTTTGCTGCCTGACAGCCTCATCAGTTTTTACCAGACTCTTGCTTTAATTAAACCCCTGTAACTACAGGCTGGTTACTAAAAAAAACATGGTTTTTAGCATCCAGTGTGAACATGAAAGTCTTTTTGTCTGAAATCCCTATTGCAAATCAAAAGGAAAAGAAAATCTCCAGTACAACACTGAGTACAACTGGAACTCAGCAGTGTCCTCACCTTCCACTCAAATACCAACACCACTATGTACATGGCCAGAAAGAGGGAGGAAGGGAAAGAGAGAGAGAGAGAGAGAGAGAGAAGGACTTAGATTGCATTTAGCCACAATGAGGTAGAAATCATAAGAGGAAGAAAAAGATACTTAAAAGGTAAAGTTCTGAGAGTTTACCAGTGTCTTTGGCTTCTGTTTTAGCTTTACACGCTGCTGCCCTTTCTGGCCACGTCAGCACTGTGAAGTTGTTATTGGACAATGATGCCCAAGTGGATGCTACTGACGTCATGAAACACACTCCACTGTTCCGAGCCTGTGAGATGGGGCACAGAGATGTGATTCAGACGCTTATTAAAGGTTAGCTGGTACAAGTGCTTCTGTTAGGGCTCATTCAAAAGGTAGACTCTACAGCACAGCCATTGTGGAACATTCCTTCATTCACACACAGAGCCACGTGGCATAAAGTTCAGGAAGTGTGCCCAAGTGGCACCAGACAACTCTGCCTTCACCTGTAGCCTCCCCTGTTGGTGAACATTTGATTTCAGGTAATCACTTTGCCCCTAGCCCCTCACTTTCATTCACTGAAAGAGAATGAGTCCCAACCTTAAGGCATTCTCGAAAGCTCTGGCACTGACAGTGGAAGTATTTGGGGGAGAAGAAAACCTTTTAAAGGACATCATTATGTTTTTTTAAGCCTCTGTTCCTTGGAATAGATGCTGTCCACATTCAACATTTTCACTGCAGTTTTGCTTTGCCAGGTGGAGCACGGGTTGACCTGGTTGACCAGGATGGACATTCGCTTCTGCACTGGGCAGCACTCGGGGGAAATGCCGATGTCTGCCAGATATTAATAGAAAATAAGATCAACCCAAATGTGCAGGATTATGCAGGAAGAACGCCACTTCAGTGTGCTGCATACGGAGGGTACATCAACTGTATGGCTGTGCTCATGGAAAACAATGCAGATCCCAACATCCAGGACAAAGAGGTAGAACCTGAGCTTTCTGTGCTGCCAGCTGCATGGCACATAGTGTTCTTTGTTATGAACTAAGTAGAAAAGTTTTATCGCTTGGAGAGGGATGATTTCCATTTGACAATATTCTCTTCTCGTGCTCCTCTATATCTTTATATTATTTAATGTGTATATTCACCAGGAGTCATTTTTAAAATGTTTATAAAATATTTGCATATATATATATATATATATATATATATATATATATACACATATGTGATCTTAGAAACCACCCATTGTTCACTTAAAATTAGCACCAGCACTTTCTCAGTTGTATAATCTCTCTCATAATCACAACTACTTAATATCCCAAAATACCAAGAGCCTTATCTTCAACAGTAGATCATTCAGCCTTCACAGCGGCACCATAAAGTAGTGACTGTCGCTCTCCCACTTCAGAGCGGAGGGAACTGGAACTTAGGTAGTTTCAATAACAACCCTGCAGTGACACCACTTGGGAGTGGGGAACCCTTACCCGAAACTCGAGTTCAGTAATTAACTCCCGTAAGTGGACACTTCGCCACTGTTTCGGGCTTGCTGGAGTCATCTCCATGAATTTATCTATCTTCTTTCCGATCGTTCCCTTAGAATAATCTCCCTAGGAGATTACCTAGTCAGAGTAACAAATGTGATACAGTGTGATCAGCTGTGATGTGTGTAGTGTGTGTGTGTGTGTGCGTGTGCGCGCGTGTGTGAACTATCAGCATCTTAAGGAAGTATTTAATCCATTCTTCCTCCTCTGTGCAGTGTGAGTTCCTCTCAGTTTACCTAGCACTCACTTTGGGAGGGCTGGTTTAACTCTTCAAAATACTATCTATAAGTCATGTTTGTTTTCTAAGTCAAAAAATAGATTCTCTATTAACCATTTAGGAAGTGTCTACCAAGTTTGTTATTATATGTAAAATATGACATAGTGAGGAGCTGGCAAGATGGCTGAGTGAGGAGACAACCAACTCCTGCAGCTGCCTGCTGACCACCTGCATGATGGAACAGGTGTGCACACATTCTAAATAAATAAATAAATGCAATAATAAAGAAGAAATCTTTAAAAAAATTAAAAGTAACATAGTAAAAACTATGTAAACTGTGGTCCTTGTCCCTATATTAGGAGGAATGTGTCACTTATAATTTAGGATGCCATTTATGTTTTGCCAAGTGGGCAGATTCTTACATGCTTATATCAAGCAACTTTCCAGTTCTATTCATTTTTATGGGTAGCATTTTGGAATCATCTGTTTTGAAATATCTAGGATTGTTCATATAATTCTGAATAGAATTGGTGATACTGGCTATCTTTAACTTATTTTGGCTTCCCAAAGATCTGGCTTTTAATACTTCTCAGTTGCAGGAGAACATATTTCTAGTTTATAAAATCATACTTCGATTTCTGTCAAATACTTGTGTGTGTCTACCAACATGATCACATGATCCTTTTCTTTTCCTCTCTTTTCTGTTGGTGAAGTGAATCGTGTTGACCAAATTTTGTTCAGATGTAACCCTGCCTTACACTTGTGGAGTGAGCCTCACTTACAGTGTAGTGTGTAGTTTTATATGTGGGTGGATTTCATTTACTAATATTTTATAACTTTGTACTTATGTTCATGATATTTTCCCTCTCTTATTGCTTGTCAGGTTTGGGTAGGAAGGAGTTTCTGACAAGGGCTAGTAAGTACTGCCTCCAGGAATTCATATAGGATTAATGTTACTTCTTCCTTAAGTATTCAGTAAAGTTTGCTGTTGAAGTCCACTGGTTGTGAGAATTTTCTTAAATGCGTAGTTTATTTATCCCTGACCCGGATCTTTAGGGGCTGTTAGACTGTTCTGTTTCCTAATGATCTCCTTTCTGCTTTGGTAAGTGCACTTTATTGGGAATGTGTCCATTTTATTCTAAATTCCAATTGTATTTATGAAAAGTTGGTCATATCTGCTCCTGTCTGGATTATGTTTTCAGACTCATAGCTATTTCTCTATTAAGTGTATATATTGGTAGTATGTATTATCTTTCTCTCTCTTTTTAACTTCCGACTTGCCTTTTTCAACCTTCCAAGGACATCTGTCTGTGTTAACTTTACATTTTGAACACATCTGCTTTTTGAATGGTGTTTGCTCTCATCTTTATTTCTTACAACATGCTCTCCTCAAGTGTGACTTACTCTTGGTTTGGTGGGCAGGGCCTGGTTTGGTAAGACAAGGTCTCATGAACCCAGTGCTGGCCTTGAACTTTCTATGTAGCCATATATGATGCTGAACTCCTGATTCTCCTGCCCTCACCTCCTGAGTCCCAAGAGCTGGGATTATAGGTGCTCCCTTCACAAACATTTTTTTTTCTTTTCTTTGAAAGACAGACTGTCACCATGTAGCTCATCTTGGAACTTGTTATTTATCCCAGGCTAACCTCCAACTTGAGATCTTTTTGTCTCAGTCTCCTGAGCTAGGATACTACATTCTTCAGATGAAAATTCGTTTTTCATTTTTTCAGTACTCTTGTCTAATATTTGTATGTCAGCCCACCTGGGCCAAGCCTTGCTTTAGCTAAGTCACACCTTCACTGTCAAATACTTAAAATATTTTCTTCTTTTCCTTCACTTTGTTAGACCGCACATGATTTGGGAGTCTATTGTTTAATTTCCAGATACCTGGAAATTTCCTTATTTCTCAACCTTAATTTAATAGATTAGTTACCTGTTGCTCCTGTGATAAATTAGCACAAACATCTGACACAAATTAATTATGTCGCAGGAGTCTTACTGGACTAAAAAATCCAAGTACAGCAGGGATGCCTTGTTTTGGGACCCTGAGAAGCAGATTGTTTTGTTTGTTTTCTTTTCAGCATCTAGAGGCTGCTCGAGTCATGCCATGCTCCTTCATTGTCAGAGCTGGCAGGTGCTAGCTGAGTCACTGACACAGCCCTTTCCCTTGGAAAGACCTTTGTGATCCTTGTGATTACCGCTGACCCACACAAAGGACCCAGTGATCTCCCCATCTTAGGACAGTGGCTATCCATGTAGCACCAGAAGTCAGGGCTTCTAGAAGTTAAGATACAGACATCTTTGCAGGGAAGGATGTGATTCTTTTGAGAACGTCTTTATGGCCCAGCTTACAGCTGATTTTGTTAGACACTCCATATATAATAAGAAAAATTCTAATTCTGTCATGGTTTAATGCAGTGTTTCATATCTATATACCACTAATCAGGTTGTATTACTTATATCTTCTATATCCTCAGTGTTTTTAATGTTTCTAACATCTGCCATTACAAAATTAAACTTAAAATTGCCACTATGAAATAAATGAATAAATACATTCTTTTAAATATTCTTTAACTTAGCATTATGATTTTGGCTCTAACCCCCTTTAATCCAGTCTGTTTGTCTGCTATGTTTAGAAGCTGTGTTAGATGTGGACATAGTTAGGCTTGCGATAGCTTCTCCTCTGACACCTTTAGCACTGTAAATATCTTATTTCCTGCAAGTTTCATGCTTTCTTTTTTTACATTTAATTATTTATGTGTGTAGGCATATACATGTATGTATACACACACACACATGTCTAGGTCATGTCAGTTGTCCCCCCCCCCCACCATGATCATGGGATCAAACTCAAGTCATCAGGCTTGATGGCAAGCAGCTTTTATTCAATCTTTTGTGACATTGACAATCCATACAGGCCATTTGTATTAGTCAGGGTTCTCTAGAGGAACAGAACTTATGGAATGAATATATATCCTATATATTCAGTATATTAATATGTTTTTATATATGGGATTTATTATAGTGGCTTACAGGCTGTAGGTTGTGGTCCACCTAGTCCAGCAGTGGCTGTCTACCAATAGAAAGTCCCCAAATCAAGTAGTTGTCCAGTCCACAGGCTGGATGTCTCAGCTGGTCTTCAGTATATCAGACTCCCAAAGAAGAAGGCTCTAATCCTAGTGACAGAATGAACTTGCCAGTGGGGGTAAGGCCAAGCAGACAAAGGGAGTACACTTCCCTCTTCTTTGTCCTTTATATAGGCTGCCAGCAGAAGCTGTGGCCGAGATTTAAGGTAGATCTTCCCATTTCAGATGATTTCATTAAGAATCCCCACAGTATGAAGCCACTTGCGTTTATGTAAATTCCAGATGTAGATGAGTTGACAACCAAGAATAACAGTATAAATTCAGTAATATTTTATTGAATTTGACTCAAATTGAGTTTGCCTCCTGTTTTGTGGTAGTGAAAGTCAAGGTTTACACTCTTGGAATGTATCATGGGCAATGTCAAATCCTCCTCAGGTCTCGTGTTGGACAGCGCATGGTGCCTTTTCACCAGCATGCTAATTGTAATCACTTTGATTAAGAACCATCTGATTTCTCCTTTATATACGTCATATTATCCCTTCTTTATTGTTAAACAATGTGCTGGGAAATTGTTTTTCTGAGTTATCATAACCATGTGTCTGAAACTGCTTACTTCAGTACTGTTGATTTGTTCATACTTCTAGGGACGAACAGCTTTGCACTGGTCCTGTAATAATGGCTACCTTGATGCCATTAAATTACTGCTAGACTTTGCTGCTTTCCCTAATCAGATGGAGAACAATGAGGAGAGGTAAGTCGTTAATTGGGAAGGGAGTGAGTATAGTGTCTCACATCCTTCTTTCAGAAGAAAAAAAAAATCTCAAGTTGACCTATTGGTTTAGAAATACTATGTGTACTCATAAGGAAACATTGTACCAAGCAATCCTGAGCCAGAGAATAGAGCCAAATTTCATGCAGTATTCACTTAGAACCATGGGAGTTTTGCACCTGCTCAAAACTTTGGGTACTCCTTACCGCAAATCCACATTTGCAGATGAGGAAAGGTCCTTTTTCGAGCCTGTGTTTAACATACGGGCAGTAAAATCCTGACTGGCCAGGCCCAGGAATTCATCCAGGCCAGCAGAATGGTTATATATTTAAGTTGTTTCTATTAGTCATGAGGATATAATTAGTGAACAAAAGGCTGCCATCAAGTGTGTGAAAACATGGAGAAGCTGAGATGAAAGCTGAACATATATAAATATCTGTAAACATTGCCTTCTTGAATGATATGGTTCACAAAAATATGTTAGAGTTGCCACTCAGGCACTCAGGCCCAATAAAAAGGCTCAGACATGGTTGGGAATGTAGCTCAGTTTCGAGTGCCTGCCTACCATGTGCTCAACTCTGGGTTCTATCCCCAGCTTGGTTAGAAGAAGGACCAAGTGCAAAGGGAAAGATTTTTTGAATTTTGGATCTAGTAAATTGAAAACAGTAACTAAGTTTATGATCAGGCTTCCGTATCTTCTTCCAGAGTCTGTCTTTGTTAGGGGAAAACTGAAGGTACCTCTATTTAAGCTCCAGATGAAAAACAAAAGGGAAAGATAAGAATCTCCCAAATTAGTGATTTCTTTAAAGAATGTCTGTGCTGAAAAGATGGCTCAGCAGCTAAAAGCACTTACTGAACAAGCCTAGTGTCCTGAGCTCTGTCCCCAGAGCCCAGGGTAGAAAGAGAGAACCAATTCCTGAAAGTTGTTCCTGGATCTCTGTGTGTACAATGGCTCAACCCACATTCACACACACACACACACAGCAGTGGCAGGAGCAATGAATTAATTAAGTAGAATTAATTAATTCTTATTTCCTGAAGCCAATCACAAATCTGTTAGTGTCTGTGAAGTGTAGAAGTGATTAAAAAGAAGGATCTCCTCTAAGAGTGTTAATTCCTAGCTGTTCTCTTTGTAAAGAAACCATGGAAAACCGTGCTGTAGAGTGCCCGTCCCCCTGCTTGTCTGTTTCCCCAGTGCTCCAGGATGTATACATGTGAGGAGCTGGCATTGCTGCTTATGCTTATTGACATTCAGGCTTGGGCATTCTGCTGAGCCCGCCAGCCCATTCCCATGTGGCAGGTCCAATTGTATGTTATCTCTTGTCAGTGTCTACATTGTTTCTTGGCTGGTTACCATCAATGTAGTGCTAATTTCTACCTCTTGTGCATAGACATTAACCAGGTGATGTTCCCCAAATAGACATCATTTCTGCCAACTCCTTCTGGCGCTCAGTCAATAGCTATCTGACAGCTACTCTCTCATGTCAATGGGAATATTCACAGTACTTGAATGCTTCTAAATGGAATTTGGAATGGAATGGTAATAACAACACCATGGTCAGTTGCTTAAACACTAGATAAAAACTCCAATCTTAAAATCTGGCTAGATATTTACATTGTGTCTCTTTGAAGCTAAGATCCGTTTAATTAAAAATTCTAATTTGAATAAATCAAAAAATTTTAAAAGACATGCTGGAGACAATTGTGGAATTGTGTATTTTACTAAGAAGTTCCTGACATTTTGTTGGCATCCTCATGCCTATGGTAAGGTGAGACACAGAGAGATGGACTGGCAGGACTCCTCAGTTTGCTTTAAAATATTTCAACAAAAATTAAAAGGAAGAAATTGAAAAAAGTAAACATAGAAAAAAATGTAATATGCACGTTATAAAAAGCAGATTGATCTCAAAAGCAGTTCTGTTCTACCAGAATATATTCAAGAGTTGATAGAAAAGGAGGTTCTTTTAAAACTGAGAGCTACTTGCAATTAGTTACAGTCTACATTCTGTACAAGCTGGTTGCATAGGTGTCGGCAAGCTGCTTGCCTTTCCTGGGTCTCTGCCTAGTTATGAAACGAAGATGTTGCATTCAGTGACTCGCGAAGGTGAGTGCAGGTTACTACTCTCTGTTCAGTGGCTCTCTGATCACTTCTTCACTAGTGAATGTGCAGCCAGGAGAGACGCTCCACCTCTTAGTTCTTCAGAATGTACAAAATAACATCTATTTAGAAGTATCATTTGAGGCTACTTACTTAGGACTTGCTCTTCCCTGAACAGTAGTGGCAAACTGAGGTGTTCTGAAATGACTGGTTATTTTCTCAGCGAGGGCTTCAGTACAGAAACCATACATGGCTCTGTTATTCACCCGACACAGGCTCTGAATTCAGTTTCCTTCCTGAAGCAACCAAACCATACTTATTCTGAAAACCTCAGCCTTTTATGCCTCACTGTAACTATTAGGCAAGTTGTAAAGAGAGATATCCTTTTCAGTAGTCACTATGTGATTGTCTGAGTCTAACCCTCCCATCCCTATAATCATCACCTTTCCCCACTATATGTCAGCTGGTGATTTCTGATTGTGTGGACAACCTCAGTCACCCTGCAGACTCAGCCTCAGTGTGCACTTGTCATGGGGTAAACGTGAGCTTGGTCCTGCGAACTGTTTCTGGCAGGCAGCTGCGGCATCATAAACCCTGCTGCAGCGTGGGTCCTGTGCTAAGAGGAGCAGCAGCTGATATGCAGGGACTGCTCCTGCGTGCGGGCACAGCGCAAGCCCCTTCCCAGTCACCATCACTTTCTACATTCACTTCTTTAACAGATGAGGACAGCTAAGACCCCAAAAGATCAAGGCTGCGGTTGGAAAGTAACATTACTGCTGGTAGTAGGCTATCCTTTTTACTTCAGTTTTTGTACTTAAATTCCATCTGAAGTTGTAAAACGTATCATTTAATTGATATTTTCCCTATAATTTTTATTATTATTGTTTAGTCACATTTACCAGTCTTTTAAATTTCATACAACTTTTTCAGGAAGGACTTCCTGTTTCCTATTTCTTCAGTCTCCCATGGAATCTTCCAGTGCCTTCATGGTTTCTCTTCTTATATGTATATCTTTGCTCCTTCTGGACTATTTTGATATATGATACAATATACAAGACTCTTTAGCTGGGCAAAAGGGAAAAATCCTCTCTCAAAAACAAGCAAACAAAAAAGTCTCTTTACCCAGGTGGCTACTTGGTTGTGCCAACACCATTTAGTCAACAATCCCGTTAACTTGCAGTGACTTGCAGGGACCCTCTGTGTCATTGGAGTCCGTCTCCACTGTCTGAAGACAGGCGTCTTTTCATAAGCATTAATTATCAGTATTTACAGAAAAATAATTTAGAGGACCTTTTCAAGCAGGTACAGGGATTCGCTTGGCACATGGCAAAAAGGGAAGTGTTCATATAGTCGCTGCCCAGTGGTTTTCAACCTGTGGGTCACGACCCCCTTGGGGTCAAACAACCCTTTCACAAGGGTTGTATATCATATATTTACATTATGATTTATAGTAGCAGCAAATTTACAATTATGTAGTATCAACAAAAATAATGAGTACAATAATAATGAGTACAGTTCCAGAACATGAGGAACTATACTAGAGGGTCACAGCATTTGGAAGGTTAAGAGTCACTGCTCTAGCCTGTGAGCCAGCTCCCAGAGCTCAGCTGTACAAAGGCTGGGCCTGTAGCCTCCTGTTTTGTATTTCTTAGAGAAAAAAGGAGAGCAGGCTAGAAGGTTTGACTTGGGAAATAGCCCATGGTAAACAAGGGTCTTTTTGGTTGGCTGGTTGGTTGGTTGGTTGGTTGGTTTTCCTTCTCTGTTGTTGTGATAAAATATTGACCAAAAGAAACTTAGGTGAGGAGAGAGTTCCATCATATATCTTGTCCATTATCAAAGGAAGTTGAGGCAAGACACTAGAGGCAGGAACTGAAGCACAGCCAATGAGGGAATGCTGCTTATTGGCTTGCTCCTGTTTGTTTTTTGAGACACGGTTTCTCTGTGTAGCCTTGGCTGTCCTGGAGCTCACACTGTAGAGCAGGCTGGCCTTGAACTTTAAGATTCACCTACCTCTGCCTCCTGGGTACTGGGATTAAAGGTGTGCACTCCACCTCCCAGCTCCACTGTGCCTTGAATCACCGTCTGTTCAAAACTGATCTTCCTCTAACTTCAGGTACACACCCCTTGATTATGCATTGCTTGGCGAGCGCCACGAGGTGATCCAATTCATGCTGGAACGTGGCGCCCTGTCTATCGCAGCTATCCAAGACATCGCTGCCTTCAAAATCCAAGCGGTCTACAAAGGGTACAAGGTCAGAAAAGCCTTCCGAGACCGGAAGAACCTCCTCATGAAGCATGAACAGCTGAGAAAAGATGCTGCAGCAAAGTAAGTTTGAGCCACCCAGGTAGCTGTAAGCTGAGAAGGGAAGCTGGGTGGAAGGTGGGAGGGGCCAGAACTCTGGATGCGGCAGTGCCTCCTCACACTAGTTCTTGCTGCGCCCTCCCCTCTGTCTTCAGAGGACCGAGGCCTTAAGGAAGGAGGAAGGCCCAGCACAGACTAAGTGTAGAGAGAACTTATCTTCTTGCCTCTCCTGGCATTCAGGCAAGAGTGTGTGTGTGTGGGCGCGCGCGTGCTCGCACATTCACACGCATGAGCATGTACACTTGAGTGCATGCTTGTAGAGGCCAGAGGACAATCTCGGTTATCATCCGTTAGTTGCCATCTACCTGGGTTTTGAGACAGGTGTTCTCCCTGGCCTGAAGCTTGCTAAGTAGGCTAGCTAGCTGGTTGTAAGCTCCTGACCCTCGTGCTTCACCCACACGGAGTGGAGGTGCGCACTGCCACTCTAAGCACTCCTAATGACACAGGCTTCACTGTTAGCCTAAAGCCTCTACACACCTCTTTGTTGTAACCTTCTTTACAAATCCTGTTCGTGGGTGACAGCTGTAAGGGACCTGTACACATGACGAAGAATCCTTAGTTTTAAGAGAGCGCTGTTTCTCTGTATAAGATGGAATATTGTACCAGGAGGAGCCCCCATTGGAGGGATTATTGTGAGACTCCCAGTGAATGCCTGATGCCTTGGATATCACCAGAGCCTACAGTTCTGGACCTAAGATGTTGTCAAAGTGCTGAATTCAGGATTCAAAAATGCTACCTTGATATTGATATTTCCCCAGTATGAGACTCTTCTATCACTGAGCAGCAGTCTCCACTCCCACTCAGCCTTGAGTAAACAACTGATACTGTACGGACCTCATGTCACTAAACTCTGATGTTCACTAGGCAGCATTATCAGGGGCTTTCCAGAGCTGTCACAAGCTGTGCAGTTTCTGGACATACTGGCTTTGTTGTTGTTGACGATGATGATGATGATAATGGTATATGCCCATGATAAGCTTTTCTTACATATGAGGCACAGTAAGGGATTAAGACAGTAATACTCACAATAGAACCATCGTAACAATAGAGCAGAAAGTTACAAGAATGTGGTTCTTTCTCAGAATATCTTGTGCACTTTTTTTAAAGCTTTTATTTGAGGAAAGCCCTCTTCGGCAGATCTGCTCCTGTGCTTCAGAGGTATTATTAAGTGTGAAAGGTGCGTGAACACAGCTCTGCAGCACCACAGCGGTGACCCTCAAAACAAGAGGTTCCTCAGCCTGCCACAAAATTTAAAACTTAGAAATTGGTTGTTTCTGGAGTTTTCTATTTAATATTTTAGTCCCAGATTCACAGTGGGAAACACACTAAAAGAAATAAAACCATACAGAGGGACTACTGTATTTCCTCCTATTGATGGTTCCATAAATTCCAGCATAACATGTAAGAGTCCTTCATAATTCAATCGTATACACCTGAATATGAAGTACCACTCTCCAAAGGCAGCATGGCTGCATTATATGTCACATAAGGGGATGTATTCCTCCAAACCATTCTGCTTCAATTGTAGAGGCTTGAGTTCTTCATGTACTCCTTCCCAGAGGAATAAGAGGGTTAGCAGAGTGGGAGGATGGCTGACTTCAAAGCCTTTGAGATTTACAGTGATCAAAGACAGCGTTTCTCTCTAGCCCTTGATTTCTTCATCTGTGAGAGGTCATGAGGTAGACTACCTGATTTCGGGGCATTATTCAGGTCTGTGGAGACTCCCAAGTCTGCACTGGGAGCCTCCTCTTCCTCTCCCAGAGGGACCACAAGTTTGGATGAACATACTGGTGAGTCAGTGCAGAACTAGGGACTAAGAACTGACTTCTGGTATCTCCTGTACAGAGAATGGTGTAAAATATTGGCACTCTTCAACAGGGTTGTGCTTTACAGTTTTATATTTTCCTAACGTTCAGTATCCTGGTCCAGAGGCTTGAAACAGCAATATGCCAAACCAACTCTATCTCATTGTTATTCCAATGAGGGTTTTAATTTTCAGCTTCTGAAGTTAACATTTGGGAACCCATAAATGGCAGCTGGGCTTGCTTGTGATCACACTGCAACGAAACAAACTGGGAAGGCTGCAGTGTCTCCTGTTCCTCATTTACAGACGTCACTCATTTGTTGTAGACTCCCACCTCCACAACCAGCACTGTGTAGACCCTGCTTCCTGCAGTCACCCTTGTATAGACCCCCACCCATCACTGCATAGCCCCCGCTTCCTGCAGTCACCGATGTATAGACCTTTACTGCTGTGCTCATCACGGAATAGACTTCCATCTCCACACTCATCCCGGTGTGGAACCCCGCCTCCTCCACACTCATTCCTGTGTGGAACCCCGCCTCCCACAATCATCACTATATAGACCCCAGGTGAAGCTCTTGGAGATGGCTCTCATTTGTCTCACTTCTCAAAAGTTGCTTCTTAAAGCCCGAGTCATTGTTCAATTTGTCTTCGAGATTTTGCTTTAAGAAATAAAACCCAGAATTCTGCTGCTGCATCTGAAGGTGGTGTGTGCCAGGCACATGGCATTAGCTCAATGTCCACTTCTCATCTACCCATGTTTGGACATCAGGATCGCCTCTGTAAAGTAAGCAGGTGAAAGGGACTCATTAAACACGAAGGAAAGTAATCTCTAATTCAGGGTGAAGTTGGGAGAGACAAGATTGCGTATATATTTTCTAGAGGTATTTTAGAAAGGCATATTTAAGAAATACCCAAACTTATTTAAAAGCACTTCATAACTCACAGAGCATTGCTTATGTCGCTGCCAAAATAAACACAGTATAATTTACCTGCCAGAGCATGGAGTGGAAATCAGACTTAGGCAGAACCTTGTTTATGTCAGTCACCCTGTCTTCTTTGAAGCCTCTTTTTACAGGCTTTTATTTTGCTCTCTCATCTCACTTACTCTCCCTTCCTCCATCTTTTAAATAGTAGTGCTGAGTTCTCCACACTGAGCTCAGCACTACTCTTTAGTGAAAATGCTTAGCACTACTCTTCTACTGAAAATGTACCCATTCTTAAAAATCATATTAGAGCCAGAACATCTATAGCTCCATCTACTCAAGGCTAATGCAGGAGGTCATATGAGTCCAGCGCTTCAAGACCTGTCTAGGCAACATTGAATACAGACCCTTCCTCAAAAAATTATTTTTAATTAGATCACCTCTCTATCAAACCTCTTAATCAGTCTCCCACCATTACCTCCCGAAACTAATTCTGTGTCTTCCACTGTCCACTGGGCATCTTCACTTTGCCATCTTATGGTCACCTGAAAACCCATTAGATCCCTGGAACAGCACTCTATACTGTCTGTCCCTCCTGAATACCAGCATTGTCTCCAGGTCTCTCTTCTCTCTGCTACAGTGCCCACACACCTTCAGACTTGATGGTCAGCCATCTCAAACTGAGAGACCGGGACTTCCTTCTAGCTTGTATGGACTGAGAGGGCCCTGTAGAATTACACAAGTAAGTCCAGGCTGGCCACCCAGTTCAAGCTAAAGTCCTTTCTACAAGAGGAGTTCTGTGTCCTCAAAAAAAATCAAATGATGAAGAATTTTGTCTCTCTCAAGACAGCACATTTCATCAATGGAAGTTTCTATCTAATAGTTCTTTTATTTTTTGTTAAGTCATGTTTAAGTGTGTGTGTGTGTGTGTGTGTGTGTGTGTGTGTGTGTGTGTGTGTGAATATGTACATGTGATTACAAGTGTCTTCGGAGACTAGAGAAGCATAGCATCCCCCTAGATGAGTTACAGGCAGTTGTAAGCTACCTGATTAGATGCTGGGAACCAACCTCAGGTCCTCCGCAAAAGCAGTGCACACTTTTAGCGGCTGACCCAGCTCCTTAGGCCCCAGAAGTTTTTTCCTTGAAGCTACCCCTCAAAGCCAAATAGAAAAGTATAAATATTTTCTCACAAGCCAAAGGAGTTCTTCTGTCACTCCCATCCCTACCGCAGACACTCTTTGGTTTTGCAATAGATCTTGCTGCAGCTACTTCCCTTAACATCCCTAGCTCTTCAGGGCTTGTCACTGTTTTGCTCACAATGTCATCTAAGCCGTGAGGCGTTACTTCTGTGGCTTCTTCACACAACCCAACTCCTCAGAGCCTCAATTTCCCATCAGTACATGAAAAGAAGTTTCCTTAATCACATGGTCTTCAAGGTTCTAGGAATGCTCTAAGACCATACACAGCATTTCATATGTCAAGAGCATATTCCATTTTGGGGAAAGAGGAGCTACAGCTTTTTTACTCTTATTATCAAAGTGGCTCATTTTCTTTTAACTGGACTGAATTACCATTTCTGAGGTCCTTCCAGCTCTAACGTTCTATAAGCCAGAGTTCCCAGACACATAACATTTTTAACATTTTCTTATTCCCTGTGGAAGAAATAAGAGACCAAATATTACTTCAACTGTTACTCAGAAATAATGAAGAGGTAGGATCTGAGACCTGAATACCAAGCAACAGCCACAGAAAGGTTACAGCCAAGCCTTCTCTGTCTCCTGCAATAATCAGCTCTCAGCATTGGAAACTTTCCAGCTCAGTTGTCATCTCTACCGGGGGGGGGGGGGGGGGGGGGGATGCACTTCCACCTCTCAGAGGGAAATTCTAGTCTGTGAGATGAATTCTAAGTCAAAAGCTGGGTGAGAGTTGGGTTGTAAATCTTTGTTCCTGCTCTTTCCCCAGCCTGGAATAACCTCTTTGATCGCTCCTCTCCTATTTTTACATACTTCATAAGGAGTCTTTTCCTGTCTCTGTCTAATTAGCATCTGCCTCTTGCATCCCTGGTATCTCTGTGTAGACACCTCAGTCTTAGCACTCTTCCTATCCAGTTCTCCCTATCTCAGGGGGATGTGGAACTGGTTCCCCAACTTCACTGTCAGCTTCTTAAGAACAGGGACTATGTGTCATGTATCATATCTCCAGCACCTTACAGTATGTGATGTACATTAGAATTCAACAAATAAATATTCAACAACTGAATATTCTATAAGGCAGCTCTAGACCTCCTCATAGAAGTCATTTGGCACTTTCTGGAGGTGTATAGTCTTTTTTCCCCGTATTGCATATATGTGGTACGTGTGTCTGTAGGCTCACATCTTGTCGCATACGTGGAAGGCAGAGGATAACTTTTTCTACTTTCATGTGGGTTCCTGGGATTGAACTCAGGAGGCCAGGCTTGAATAGCAAGCACCTCTACCCACTGAGCCATCTCACCAGCCCCCAACCTTTTTGAGATTATGACATGACATTGTCACACACGTATGTTTGACCACATTCACAGCCCAGTGGCTACACATTAGACATGCCTTCTGTGCCTTAATTTCCCCCTTTGTCATTTGGAAGCACTGGACTGTGTATTAGTTACCTCTGTGCTACTAATGACCAAAATGACTGACAGAAACAACTTAAAGAAAGAAAGATTTTGGCTCTTGGTTTCAGTGCTACCCATCCTTCCTGGTGGGCAAGGTATGGTAGCCAAGAAGCAGGGAAAAAGAACAGGAAGGGTCAGGGCAAAATATAGCTTCAAACACTCATCTCGAGTGACCTCCTTCCTCCAGCTAGGCCCACCTCTACCTGTCACCTCTTTACAATAAGATCATCAAGAGATTGATGCATTTATTAGACCAGAGGCCTCAGGGTCTAACTGTCTCTCAAAACCACCATCATAGACATACTCCAAGGTGTGCTCGCCGACCTAGGGTATTTTTAGTCCAGGTTACCTGTAAGCGGAGAGTCCAGATGGCCCATCACAGAGCAGAGCCTCCGGACGGTCTCCCTTTCCGTCTGTGAGTCTCTGTAAGGCTTTCGTTGAACTCGCGTGCTCTGCTCAGGGCAGCATTTACAGGCCACTTGTCTTCAAGCACACTGGGCACTCACATAGCCATGCAGCATGTTCTCCAGCCTCATGTTGAGCAGGAGCAAATCAGCCCCCGATGGGTTAAGAGCAGCAGGACTCAGCTCTGTGAGCTAGAAGATGGGGACTGGGACCCTTCTTCCCCTTTTAAACCCCAACAGATCCAAGGAGACTGGGAAGAGCAAGGATTTAATATCTGTGACAACTTAAAGGTTTAATTTTTTAAAAAAATACATCTGCAGGGCATTGTTGTGTACGCCTGTAATCCCACCACTCAGGGAGGCAGAGCCAGGCAGGTGACTGTGAGTTCGAGACCAGCGTGGTCTACAAAGTGAGTCCAGGACAGCCAAGGCTACACAGAGAAACCCTGGCTCAAACAAACAAACAAAAACCCACATTATTTCCTAAAAAAAGAAATACCTTCATATTCTTATACCCGAGGCTGAGTGAAATACCCTCATGAATATGTCATTTCTTCTAGTTCTGGTTATTTAGTTCTATAAAAATAAAACAGCATTCCTTCTCCAAAGAAGTCTCCAGAAAGCAGCCTGCTTGATGTTTACACAGTCTCATCCCTTTGTCAGGCTGCCTGCCATTTTGTCATGTGACTTGCCCATATTAGAGGTCTTTGGTAATGGCACTTGTCCCTGGCTGCATAGTAGCTTCTTAAATTAAGTAGAGACATTTGGTTTCTTAAAAGAACTGTGTGACTGCTGAAACAATAAAACCTCATTTGTCACTTGTGAGCCCCTCTTATTGTCATGCAGATCCACAGAGATGCCAGCCCAGACAGCCATACTCATGTGTCTATGGAAAGATCAGCACCATTCTCTTAAGGCCACTTTGTTTCTCTGCACTATATAAAGAACAAAGCTCCCTCTCCCTGCGTAGATCATTTAGCAGAACTGCAGCCACTTAGATGTTTCAGTCTTCTTCTGAGATGTAACCCATGTCCCAGACTGCCCACTCGCCACCTATCAGTCACCTTGTTTGTCATTGCTAGCTTGTAATGGACCCAGCTCTTGATTATGATATATGTCAAGCTAGTCTACAGCAGCTAGATAGCACACTTAGGTCAGCAGTTGGCAGAGGTGTATCAAAACCAGAGCCAATCAAAATAGGACTCATCCCAACCTGCCTGGCCGTGTTCTCTGTGATGAGACTCAATGAGTCTTTTCCACACAGAAGGACCCTAGGAAGAGTTTGACACAGTTTAAAATCATCTGTCTTCTGGGTTGTCTTTGTCCCTTGAAATCTAAATAAGCTTTGCTCTAAACTCCAATCCAGGCAGCTCTGGCCTTCCCGCTTGGTGTCTTGGTTCTATGGACTGTTGGGTAGCTTGTGAAAAAGCATGCACAACTGTGGTAAACCATGCAGAAGGTGACATCACAGGGGGGCACCCTTCATTCCCACAGTCCATGGTGACACACAAGGCTCTCCTCTCATAAGCCTGCTTGCTCCAGGAGAGGCCAGAAGAGCAACAATAGTTGTTACCTAGTCTCTTGAAGAAAATGTGAAATGTAGAACCCAAGTTAATTAAAATGTGTAACTCACAAGGTCCCAGGTGATTTGGCCCATTAACATGTGAAGAGTCAGGACCTAAGCTCTTCCCTCGTTGCTGGTCTCTAGACATGGCCTCTCCTGCCAGGCTCCTTTGTACTATTGCTCAGAGGCTGAGCTGAGCCACTGATGCACTGTCTGGTTTTGAAGATCATCGCAGAGGTCTCACATACAGTGTTTCTGCTTGGTTCCTTGGCTGAAGCTGTGACTTTCCCGTGCCATCGTGGCTGTTTGTGATGCTTTGTTTTACAAGTAGAGCAGGCAATCTTTGTGACTTCGGTCCTTAGTGGCATTCTGCTGTGCTTCTGGAGTGGGAGAGAAAGGGGTAGAGTTTTGGTAAACTCCAAGAACAGTCCAGTGACCTGGTTAGGCCGTGTTTCTAAGCAGTGCAGGCTGATCTCTGTGATGGTTTTCGGCTACATTCTACATGGCCTGGTATAAGGAGGTGGTTGCTGTCGTATGTGGCGAAAGAGCGCATCCCAGAAAGTGCATTTTCATATCCATCCGTGGTGTGTTAGCTCCTCTCAACATTTCAGGCCATCTTGAGGACCCTGAAGCAGGTGAGACCCTTTTGACAGTTTCCTCTTCTTTGGCTTGTTTCCAGAAAACGGGAGGAGGAAAACAAGCGGAAGGAAGCTGAACAGCAAAAAGGGCTACTGAGCACAGATCCCCCCAAGCCCCAAGTCCTCCCCTCTCCACCCAGCCCCCAGAATGAGCCCAGCAGGCAGAATGCAGCCCCTAACAAACAGCCACCTGCTGGCCACACAGCCCAGAGCCCTGACCCAGAGCACAGCAGACAGTCTCCAGGCCAGTGTCCAGGCCGAGCCTCCCACAAGGACTGTTCCTCAGACCTTCAGGGAACAGCCTCCAGAAAGCCAAATGGTAAGTGTGGCCTGTGTGATCTGGGCTTTTTGCCTGGCAGTTATTATGGTAGTACCAAGGCCTGCCATGATGTGGTTTGTGCTGTTTGTTTCCTCTGATTCGCAGTCTTCTGCTTCTCTTTCTTGCTTATAGTTTACTAGAATCGTTGAGGATTCTAGCTTAACTGATTTGTAGTGTTCTGAGTTTATTTCTTCTGTCTAGTTTTTGGCACTGTGGCTCAGGGCATTCTGTATGTAACTTGCTTCCATCTGCTGACATCAACACAGTAACCACTGAGTGAAGCACTGGCACTTCCCGACCACTTGTAAAGTCATCGCGGGGCTGCCCACATCAGGTTGTTTACAGTCCCCTGGAACTCCAGCTCCACAAGATCTGACTCTGTTGTCTGGACTCCACGGGCACTGGCACTCACACTTACACACCCCATCCCACCGATACACATAGACACTTAATTTTTTAAATAATAAAAATAGATCACTTAAACGTCATTGCTGAAGATCAGCTGTTATTGTTTTCATTTCAGCCATCAAATATAAGTTATAAAATTCATAAAGAAAGGTACATATTTCTGTCCTTCTGTTGCTCTCCCTTCTTCCTCATGCTCTAAGAAGATCCCTACTCTTCTCTTTTTTGTTCTCTAGCTAACCCTAAGTAATGAGGGTACTTCTACCAGCAACATAGTCTTGGAATTTTCCCTTTTTTTTTTTTTTTCTCTTTTGTTGTTATCACATTTGCAAGGAGTCAGTGAACCAGACCCAGACTCCATGCTTGGCAGTTCTTTTTATCACATATGGCACTTCCTTATGGACTCCTTGCTTTGAGATAAAGTCATTGTCATTCACATTGGCCCTCCTCGGGCACATTCCTGGGTAGCATGCCGTTCTTCTGTTTTCAAGATGCTTCTTTACTTTTTCTTTTCCTTCTTTTCTTTCTTTACTTTTCAAAAGTTTGACACGTCTTACTGGTTTTTTTATTTATTCTGTTTGTAGTTAATTTAGTGTTAAGAGTCCCCAAGATTCTTTGGTTTGGTCAGTTGGTGGGAGAAACTCACAAGATTCAGGAGTACACTTGTACTCAGAGTTGTGATATACTGTTACAATACCCAACACAAAATCAGCCAAGATGAAGGAAACCCTTCCAGAAATTCTCTCCTGCGAGACACACACACACACACACACACACACACACACACACACACACACACA